CATATCTTCTAATCATATCTTCTAATCATGGCTCATATACCATTTAAAACGACACCTGCCGAAAATATTAATTCCCCCGCTTCGATCCTAGCTCCGCCGCTTCTATTTCCAAAGCTCTGCTGCCCAAGTAAAGCGTCTCTTCGTTTCTTTCCCTTTCAACTCCCTTTCTTCAATGTCACATTCCCTTTCAACTCCCAACATCGCCTCTTCGTTTCTTTCCCTCATTCTTCAATTCTCCTTCATCCCTAAGCCCAAGTAAAGCGTCAGAACCCTCTAGAGATCCCTCGATCCCACGAAGCTCCTGGAAGCGACTGGTGACCGGCGACCTCTTCAAACTCCGCCCCAAAGGCTACTTCACCCGCCGCCACAAAACCCCATCAGGTCCGCACCTCCTCCAACCCGCCAGTGTCGACTGGCTCCGCTCCACATCCCGCCTGGACAACGTCCTGGGCCGGCCCGATAACAGAATCCGCAGGGCCCACGCCGAAGCCCAAACCCTGAAGTCCTTCATTTTCGCCGTCAATCTCCAAATCCCAGGCCGCGATTGCCGCTCCGCCGTCTTCTACTTCGCCGCCGATGACCCAAAGGGGATTGCGAAGGTGAATGACGGAAGAGATTGAGGTTAGGGCTCCCCCCCCCTCAATGTTCTGCTTTTTGATGGGGAGCGCTGGAGGTATTTAAAAACTCTCAAAAATTTTGACCATTCAGAGAGAAAATCCCTCATAAGTTATAAAACATCAATTAACTCTGAATTGTTTTTGGCAATGTTCAGTAACAAATTCTTTGATGCAACACCCCCTCCCCATTCAGTACGTCTACATTTTAGATTATTAGTTTGATGATCATGATCTCTTAGCATAAAGAATGTGGGGTCAATTCTCATGAGCCAATAGAGATTAAATTCTTTGATGAAGCAATTTTTGAAATATTGTTGTGGAATCTAAACCAGGTGTGGTTAGAGAGGCGGTATGTTGGATCTCGTCATACATCTGAGTGGTTCAACACAGCTGGAAGAAATGTTAAGACAGGACTCATTGCCAGTGTTATCGTGTCGCAGGTATCGGTCACACTGTTTCTGTTACTCTTTATGATCAAAGCTATTTTCCAGTAACAAATTTCTGGTGAATTCTCTAAAATTTTGGTACGAAGTGGACTTGGGCTGCAACAATCTTGCAAAGTTCCAATGTTGCATGGGAGTATGGAATCAGTGGTCCTTTCTGGTATGCCAGTGGTGCTACCATTCAGGTTAGTCCTTTAATATCAGTATCTCAAGTTAAATAAATCCGTAGCTGCTAGCAAGTTCAATGACTGGGAAAGTTGTGTTTTTTGTGTCCGCAGGTTCTTTTATTTGGCGTCATGGCCATTGAAATCAAAAGAAAGGCTCCTCAAGCGCATACAGTTTGTGAAATTATAAAAGCACGGTATGCTGAAAAAATGTATACTATATTTGAACTAGGCTCTTCTTAGTTTGCACTCTGTTGTACTCAACATATGTACATATTTGTGCAGATGGGGAACTGCAGCTCATGTTGTATTTCTTTTATTCTGCTTCATGACCAATATAATCGTGACTGCCATGCTCCTGCTTGGTGGTTCTGCAGTTGTTAATGCACTCACTGGTGTGAATATTTATGCTGCGAGCTTCCTCATTCCACTTGGTGTAATTTTATACACATTGGCTGGAGGATTAAAGGTCACTTTCCTGGCGAGCTACATTCATTCAGTCATAGGCAAGTTTGAAACCTTTTTAGCTTCTGCAATGGTTTTGGCCTGCTTGAATAATGAGATTGGTAATAGCTTATAAAATTTTGAAAATCTCTTATCTGATACACTTCCATGTAGATCGATTTGGAAATCATGATCCCGTTTGTTTGGGAATATCTAAAATTCATACAATATGCAATTTAATCAATCTTAGTTTTTTTGAATCGTTAGAGCGTTTTGACTTGCAAGGTAACATTTTGTGTAGAAATGGGTATTCACCTTTCTTTTGTACATGTATTATTGCCAAAGGATAGCATGTGATGGACAATCTAATAAGTGCAATGGCCTGATATACTTACGAAACCATTTAAAGGATTTTTATGTGGGCATATTTTATGCTTTATATGTATCATGTGCATTTTGTTAGTTTACAGATGTTATTGAAATCTGGCATATGTACGTTCATTGTTCTTTGCAAATGGATATAGAGAAATGTTGTCTTCATTATCCACATATTAACAGAGAGATAGCTTATAGAAACATGCTGCAATCTAAAATGTAGACGTACTGAATAGGATGGTAATCCCTTATAACATTAGACTTTAAATCAGTAGAAAGGTATGATATACTATCAAAATTAAATGTCAACACTTGAAATTTCGCTGCATTAAATTAGGGATCAAAATTACTATCAGCAGTTAGAACAATAATGCAACACCCCCTCCCCATTTCAATTAGAGCTTACTTTATCTATCAATATAATCTGCAAAGGTCCGATAGGAAAGAGTATTGCAGGTTCGTTTCACTTTGTTTTTTAATCACTTTTACTATTTTGTTTGTACTGTACCGATAATGCCAAAAACATTTCCTTACTAAATTTTTTACGAACCTCTAATTGTTACACAGTCGCCAATACTATTCGAATTTGTGAAGGTCCAGTTGGAAAGGGTACTACAGGTTTGTTTTCATATTTCCGGTAGTTTTATCTTCTTTATTTGTGTGTTTTCATATTGTCAGAATATAACCTGATACTCCCATAGTATGATAGCAAATGTTGGGCCAGGTTTCAGGTGAAATTCAAACCTGATACTCACATAGTATGATAGTAATTGCATTTAGAAATTCAAACGTCATTCTGCAATAGCAAATGTATTTTGGTAATGAAAATTAAGCTTTCTTACCAAAATAAATTAATTAATTAAGGATCAACTCAACTCTCTTATGATTTATAGTTTGATCCTTTCTAATTGGCCTAATTTGAATTTTTATTGCAATTTCTTCTCCCTGTGTGCGCACGCTCGCATGCATGCGTGGCTGCCAAATGCATTTTTTTAACATTAAAGGATAACAAGTGCAATTTACGATATAACAATCTTTTTCTGTACTTAGAAAGAACTTCAGCTCTTGCAATTTAAAATTCTTGAAGTTTGACATCCCATTGATGGCCCTGACGGCTACAGCGACGATTCCAGTTCGTGAGGACATTATCAAGTCTCTGCACATGTCAGAGGAAACAAAAATTGTCTTGACATCTTTCTTTCGACCGAACGTACGATTTTCAGTGAGTTATAAATTTTGTGGACTGGAATTAACAATTTATTAGCTTTCTGTACTTGCAATGTAATTGTTACCTCTTTGATTGGAAATTTAAGGCTTGATATCAATTCATTCTTTTAAGGGTAAATTTCACAAACACCTATGAAGTTTTTGGTGGTTTGTACAAAATTGTTTTCATCCATTCAGAAACAAGAGATGACCATATTAGTAATTTTTATGAACCAAAACTTGAAGCTGACCTATTCAAATTTAGTTAAACCTGTTAAAAGCTTTTTCGTAATATCTGAAACCAAAAAAAGGGCTTTCCAACCTTATTTTATGCTGAAATTCTATAACAAAAATAAAAATAAAAATAAAAATAAAAATGTTAATACAAAGCTAAGGTATAGCTTTTGCTTCTTATTTCAGCATCAAAACAGTGTTTGAATGTAGTTGACTTTGTGAACTACTATAAGTAGAATCATGGCTCATATCTTCTAATCACATGCATATTGGACCACATTACTTTGTGTTAGTTAATAGTACTTCCTCTAATTCTTTCCATTCGGCGTTTGAGGTCTCAGAGTGTTAATTATAACTATGTTATCTCAGAATTGATTTAGAGACCATTTGTACCATATAAATTACAATTTCTCTCTGCCTTTTCAATTAACATCCTTGATCAAATTTATGCAATGTTTTACCATTATCACTTTGGATTGGCTATTTCTTTTCGCTTTACTATTGATTTCTTGATTCTTCTCATTAATTGTACAACAATCTTTTACTGCCACATCATTAACATGCTAACTATTATGTTAAACTGGAACACAGGGCTTTTGTTGCTACAACTTTCACCATTATCACTTTGGATTGCCTATTTCTTTTCGCTTTAATATTGATTTCTTGATTCTTCACATTAATTGTACAACAATCTTTTCCTGCCAACTCATTAACATGCTAACTATTATGTTATACTGAAACACAGGGCTCGCCATCGGACACTGATGACAGTGAAGTTGAAATTTGTTCCTCGGATAACATTACTCCTTGCAAAAGAAATTTGTTGGAATCTGATATCGAACACTCAGTTTCAGTAGACTTGATTTCTCCGCAAATGTCTAGCAATAAAAAGCAAAAACGGTTCAAGATTGAAAGAGAGAATTATAATATTCTACAGAGAGTTCAAGCTATTTTTTGATAAATCTCTATCTGATTCATGATGTCTGAAACTTATATTTAGTATTCTGGTCTAAAACCTTATTCACTAAACTTTTGTATGCACTACATATTTTTTTAGTGGTTTTACGTTGAGAAACCTAACTACTTGATATGATTGTGATGGATATTTTGTTTATCAATCTATTTATAATTATTGCCTTGATTCATAGATATATATATTTGACAAGTATCTCTATGTGCTTTAAATATTTCGTTTGGAACTAAACTTTATGCTGCATACTAATTACTTGGTATAGCAAAATATTATAACATTAGTCATATAGACATGTGAGATTTTATCTATTTTATTATGATAATAGGAAAATTATATATTATTATTGTTTTATTTTGTATTCTTTTACTACATTAATTTTTGTATATTAGATAAATCCGTGCATCGCACGGGCCTGAAACTAGTAGAAAATAAATAAACAAATTAGTGGCCAACAACACCGAAGAACACTCTCGACGACGGCCACGCGTCGACCCCCCCATCTGTCACTTGTCCCATCCTACTGTATACTCTATCTATCTCTACAAAATCTTCCAACCCCCTCTCTCTCAGATCTCCCATCGAGATCCCCAAAAACAAATAAAAAGTTAAATAGTAAGTGAGCAATGGAGAAATTTGGGGATTTGGGCGTCGCCCCGTTTGTAGTGAAAACTTATAAGATGGTTAGCGATCCTGAGACAGATGCGATCATATGCTGGGGGAGAGAGAGCAATAGCTTTGTTGTGGCTGATCCTTTTGCTTTCTCTCAGTCTCTTTTGCCTGCTCACTTCAAGCACAGCAATTTCTCCAGTTTCGTTCGCCAGCTCAATACTTATGTTAGTATTATTAATTTCCTGTATCTGTTTTTGTTTACGGTCGCTGTGTTGTCTTTGTGTCGCTGTGGATAGATTGGAGAAAAAAAAAAATCAATTTTTACGCATCCGATCCATGTAGAGCTAGCGTTAATAGTGGCTGGGTCACAACGATATCGGCCTTAGATCTTGGACCTAACGAATTGATATTTCTTTGATGCGTTATTAATAACACGTTGAAACGAGTAGTGACATCCCATATTCTAAAATGAATTATCTTCGAATTAAACTTTTTTTTTTCCATACGGATATTATATTCTGCAATATGAATTGTCTGCTATTTCACTTGAAAATGAGAATAAATACAATACAATTCGAAGATACAGTGTTAGATTGTTATTAAATAACTATGCCTCGTAAATGTTAGGTTGCTATCAGAATATTTTTAGTCAATCATATTTGGGTTTACTTATTAAAAAGGTCTGGGGCGCGTCTTGGCCTTCAGTTAGGAACGGTAGATATTTGCCTCTGGATATTTTATTTAGTCACTGGGTACTGTCTAAGGAATGAATTGAAGTAAAGGTATTTATATCCCTCCCCCCCTTTGGACAAAGGGATATTTTCCCATTCATAAAAGGTGTAGGTATTCAATAACGTAACTTAAATGGTTCAAGTAAAGGTAATTAATTTTCACTTTTTTTTTAAAATAAAACTCAGTAATTTCTTGCGGAGCATTGGTTCTTTCATTCATGTTTTGTAGGTGTTCCGTGAAAAATGTTATTGATAAGCGAAACAATCAGATGCCCTATCATCACCCTCAAAATAATACCTAATAAATTTGCACGTATAATCAAAATTCTACAGGGATTTCGCAAGGTAGACCCCGACAAATGGGAATTCGCCCACGCCTCCTTCCTCAAAGGCCAAACCCACCTGCTCCGCCACATCGTCCGACGAGCCCCCGTCACCTCGTCGTCCTCCTCCTCCTCCAAGAAAGCCACCGACCCCTATGAAATTGACGACGGCATAATCCTCGACCTCCTCACCCTAAAACAACAGCAGAGCTCTATCGACGAGAAGGTACAGAAAATGTGGAGCAGACTTCAGGAAACAGAGAGGAAACCGAAGCAGATGCTCGCATTTCTTATGAAGGTTGTTAGGGATCCGACGATGGTGGAGAGATCGACGGCGAGGAAGAGGGCGAGGCTGAGATTGGAGGAGGCCAGGGATGACGTGTTGGCGTTGAAGGTGGAGGATTTGGGGGGCGTTGATGGGTTTGGGGCTGATGGGATTTTTTCGGCGACGCTGGAGGAATTGCTGGGGTTGGGTGATGGGGACGAGTTTTAGTCGGGGATGCTTTCGTTGTGCGTGTTCTGGCTGGTTTCGTTGGTGTTGCATGGTGTCATGGTGTTGGGTACTTAAGGTATTGTGCAGAGCCCACTGTACGTTCTAGAATCTGTAAAGAGTAACCTTAGCTGAGTCGGATGTATATATTTTTTTTCTAACCTTTTTCCCTAGAGTTAATTGTTACTTTCTTGGGAGTCATATTGCTAATAAGGGTAAAGAGTTGCGACTTTGGAGTCTCACAACTTTGGTATATTATCAGAGTATGGATGCGACGGCGTAGTATTTTGTTGTTATGTTATCAGAGCAATCTAGGTTCGAATTTTATTGACCTTAAGTTTCTAGAATGCATTATACAATTCGCTGTGAGGGAATGTTATATAAAGTTAGAGCCCAAGGTTTTTGCATAGGGGTTAATTTGTTTGAAAAAAATTTTAGAAGTGTTAATATTAATTTATTGACTTTAGCCTCTCAGTATATAGGGTATGTATGCGATCAACGGGTATGCACGCCCTTTTCTTTACCTATATGATGATAATGCGTTAGTGGCGTAGTCAGGATGTAAAAGATAGATAGATAGTTTGAAGGTGATGAATTAAGAGTTTCTTTTGTTAGCCAAACATACCAACTGCCAATATATATTAAAAAAAACACAACATGTTATATCAAATAAATAATATAATTAAATGAACTACTTACATCTAGGTTTAATATAAGTAGTTAAATAAATAAAGCAAACGATACGACAACCATGAGAATGACAAAAGGGAAAAGAATTGCATCTTTAAGATCCAGAGAACATGAAAAGCCTCGAAACTCCTCGATGTAATTGGAGGAAAATACTTAAAGAGATTAGTTCGAATTGAGTTGAACTGAAGGGGAAGAAAAAAAATCCCAAAAATTTCCCAAAATACGTAATCCTACGCCCTTATAAGTGGCGTTATGCTATCGTATAATAGAACATATTGGCCAAATGAATATCGGACCCACTAACTGGACGACCGAAGCTGAAGATTACTGGTGCATTTATTTATACTTCTAATGGGCCCAATGATATCGACCCACTAACTGGATCGCAACGACTCGGCTCACCAATCGTGTTACCTTCTGGGCTTTTAGAACTCATAGGCCCTAAATTATTACATCGAAAACATACGGCCTTCGAGATTATAAATGCGGCAGAAAAATCGTTCGTTATCTCGCTTTCGCGTCTCCGCTAGCAGATCTCCATCATTTCTACGTCGCTGGTCGCCGCTCTCGACTAAGCCCCGTGGATCAGAGAGAGTTTAAAATGGGCATTTGAAATTTAGGTGCGTATTTATTCCAACTAGAACTTTTATCTTTTGGTGTTAATTAATTGCCAGTGTTGTTCTTTGTTGTTCGTCATTCCTATGCCAACGGAAAGTCAACGTAAGACACGGTCGAATCTCTACGTACATGAATTAATCCAAAAGAACATTAATTGTATTTAACTTTTGGTGTTTTAATTAACCCACGTAAAACGCCTTTTAAAAATCGAAGAAATACTCTTCACGCCTCATAATAATTTAAAAAATCACGGGAAGGGCGAACACTCAATGGTTAATTTGGAATGCAACCCCATGTACCAAGGCCAACTTGGAATTCACTTAGATTGCGTTTGGATTCGAGGATTTGATTTCAAATTCCAAAATTGAATTCTGAATTTTGAAATCCAGAATTTAAAATTCAATTCCTTCGTTTGGCGAACATCCAAATTTGAATTCCAAATTTGAAATTCATGTTTGAATTTCAATTTTAAAAATTTCAATTGAGTTGTTTGCTAACTAGTAGAATTCTAATTTCTGAACTAAAATTGTAGCTCGAAGATAATTTAGAAATAAGATACTCAACAATAAGTCTTGCATCGAAATTGGTGGAAATAAATGCACATGGCTATTTGAGGGGAAATTTACCATAGACGGCGCTCTACACAAAATCATATAGTGACAGTAAGTTCGGATCAACCATTCAACAAGTGAGGCATATGTCAAAAAAAATTGCATTATAGCATCTAAACCAGTATAATGTATTCACTACAAACTATTCCTTTCTGACAACAAAAACAAATGAATACATTTCTCTACTTCAATTACATGAAACAACAACAAAATGACCAAATCAACTTCCACCATTGATAAGGGCACAAAGAGTACAGAAAATATGCAAACTAACATAATCCATTACATTTTATGTGAGGATTACAGTATAAATGCATCTGAGAGAGAGATCAAAGATTCAAAAATGACAATATAAATGCATCTAGTTGACATCATCCAAGGGTAGGCTACTAGCTCCTAAATATAGTTACAGAGATGACAAATATTTATCGAAAAGAAGCGCGGTAATTCTATTCACGATCCTTGGTCATTAAAGTACATAAGCAGTTACATTTTTCATTTGAGAATTACAGTAAGATCAAAATTATAAAGATGCAAAACTACCCAACTCAAGAAAAATCTGGCCTAGATTCCAGAAAGAGCAATATACTGACTGTAGTGGAAAACAATTGACATCGTGCAGTCACCAAGATTCAAACATTTAATAATTCCATCAAATGATCAAATGATCAATTTTAGTCATGATAGATGAGACAATGATGTTCAAACATTTGATATGCACTAACTAAAACTACCAAACAAGAGCTTAAATACAAATGGAAAAGTTAATGAGTTATTTTTTACCTTAGTTTGAGTTTTCAAGACATAGCATAATTCAATCTAACTTTTGATTGTTTGAAAGTAACTTCAACATTCGAAAATCATGTGCAGAACCATCAATGAATCTCTTAACTTCCCTTAAAAATTGATGTGGAGGAATACCCCTCACTTTAGATACCTCGACATAAATCTCCTCGCAATCAGCTTTTGGTGGGTTTGTACTCACCAGATGCTCCTTTAGCATCTCACCAACATCACTTACTGCATTTGCTAAAGGGTCTCGATCTCTTGAGCTTCTTATTGGATTTAGAAGTTGAAAATTTTGAAACCTCTCTGCTAGAGCTCTCCCCTTCATTCACACCTTCCATATCCATAGCTGCAATAGAATCATCAATTTGCTCTGCACCCTCGGCAGTTACTCTATCGGTGCCCACTAACACACATATATCATCCCAATTCTCAATAGCTTTGTTTTGGTATGCCTTGGCATCTGAATTTACCTATGCAAACATGAGAAAATACAAAAACATTGTGAGACAATCTAGTAACGCAGCACCATATATCAATAAGATTTTGAACGTTACTCACTTTTTGAATCTAGAATATATACGATGAAAGAGCAAAGGCATATCAAAAACCGAAAAACAAATGTTAGCATGTGTTAAGCAAAAATTAAACAAATTTTAATAGAATAATAACATTTAGTGCAACTAGTCATCTTGAAAACGAATGGGTACTATCTGTAAGCTTCATGTATGCCGCCTGGATGAATGTTTAGATATAGATATGAGCAAATTGTCTTAGATATGTAAATCTTCCATTCTCCAAAAAAAAAAAAGGTGTAAGGTCAAGTATTTGAATGGCAAAGATCACCAAAAATAATAAATCTTGCAATATGGTGTTGCTACAATTTAGCCCATTTCTTAACCATGGACAAGTTTGTAAAGATAAAGACACCAATTAACTTAGACATGATCATAACCATGACCTTGTTGATGTTTGGTAAGTCAGCCTCACAATAAATGACCATTTTAAGTCTATCCTCTCCATGAGAGAGTTCACTGCATTTAAAACATAGTTATTCTCACAATAAATGGCCAAGTTTGTATAAAGGATGAATGATTCAGACACTAATATATAACACAGGACTGCTCAACCATAACTAGCTTGAAATTGCTAAATGAACATATTCTAGCCAAATTTAAAATTGTAGGTATAGATATCTCTATCTGTCGGAAACTTAAGGAACATCTAACACAGCGCAACAAAGGATCAATATGTACATAATTGAGAAGGTCCATTGTAAATGAATAAAATTTAATGATTCTTAAACAGTATGTACTTAATTATGGACAAAATCAAACAAATACATAGTAAGACAAAGAGTTATGAACATGTGTTGTAGATATTCAACATACCTCACAATACTTGGTCCAATCTACCAAGTCCTCAATGGTAATTACCACCAGTTGTAGATATTCAACATACCTCACAATACTTGGTCCAATCTACCAAGTCCTCAATGGTAATTACCACCATTTTCTTATCATCGTCCCATCTGAACTTACTTGGTCCAATCTACCAAGTCCTCAATGGTAATTACCACCATTTTCTTATCATCGTCCCATCTGAACTTAGTTTTTGTCCGTATTTTAGTGATGATAGCATAATATTTCTTCTAAAGTTTTACCCTATTCCTTATGTGATCCACCGTGATAGAAAAACCCAATTTGGATTTTAACTCATCAACAACAGCTTGATAAGCTTGAGGCTTCCAATCCCCCTCACCTTTATTGCCTTGGTTTAGTTGATTGTAAAACATGGTCGTCAGTATCATGTCCATTTGTGGATTCTAAGTAAGATAGCTCATTTTCCTACCTCCTTGTATAGGAGGCAAAGTCTCTTTATCTTTTCTAATCATTACCTTAAAAGGAAGGAAATCATATTAGTAGAAAAACTTTAAAGTCAGAGAAACTTCATTGAACAAACAAAAAAGGGGAAATAAAAATACATATTTTGTTGCTGTCATATAGATAGTCTGAGATGATGTGATCCATTAGAAATGGATGGTAGAGCTAATCAAAAGATCTAAACAAATAAAGCATCCTTAAATAGTCCAGATCCAGCACAATTTAATAAAAGTTTATCACTATGTTCACATACTTACATGAAAGTTTGTATGTGAAACCTCAAGCATTCTAAACAGACAAACATGAAAGTTTATCACTATGTTCACATACAATCTTAGTAGAACACATTAAGCAACAAATAAAAGAATATGTCCATTCATTCGTTGTTTAAGGTGAAAATCTCAAGTAGCACGAGCTATCCGAGCTTCATATTCATTGAACATCTACAAAGCAATATCATCTCTGAACAAACTCCATTCATTCGTTGCTCAAGTACTTGTAATGTAATCAACATCAACCTCATTGTCGCTATCAAATGTGTTTGTATTTTCAAGCTCCTCGTCCACCTCACGCAACAAATCATTCTCTTCCATATTTTTATCTCTTACGAAATTGTGAAGAATAAAACAAGCATTTATAATCCTAACTTGAGTCTTTTTGTCAAAGAAGCTTGTTGTCCTAAGAATGGTCCATCGTTTCTTCAACACTCCAAATGCTCTTTCAATAGTATTTCGAGCAGATGAATGTCGCAGATTGAAGAGCTCTTTGTAATTTGTTGGAGTATTCCCTCGCCACAAATTCAAATGGTACCGAGTGCCTCTGTATGGAGCTAAGAAACCCCGACTATTGGTGAACCCCAAATCCACAAGATAATACTTATCTACAACATCAATATAAACATTTTAGCTTAAAGATGAAAAAACAAGTTAAAAAAGGAAAGTCTATAAACACCAAGCTAATGTCTTACTTGTTGGTACTTTTAAACCATTAGGCCTCTGCGAAGCATCACGAAGGATGCGAGTATCAGATGCAGATCATTCCCAACCAGGTAAAACATAAGTAAATTGGAGATTGGGATTGCACATGGCAAGGACATTTGTGCTGATATCACCCTTTCTATCTCGATATCTAGGTCAATCCTCAAGAGGGACAGTCATTTGAATGTGTGTCCCATCAAGTACTCCAAGTAAACCCTAACAATCAACCCCATAACATCATATAGATTACATATTAGCACAAACAAATCTATATATCCAAAAAACAAATTATTATTACCTCAAACCATTTTCATTTGTTATCTCCCGCATAACTAGTGGTGGATTCTACTTGTTTGACATAATACTTCCTGATATTCATAACCACTCGGAGCACCGTATGAAATTGTCGGCTTATAGTTTCTCCAGAACGAAAAAAAATTGTTCAAATAGTTCGATTCTTCAAGTTATGAGAAATAATATGTAGGAAAAATACAACATCTTCTCTCACTGTGACATACCTAGAAGTCACCAATCCCTCTTTAGATCGTAAAATGGCATACAACTTCTCAAAACAACACCTATTAAGACGTAGTTGCTCCCGACATATTGTATCATTCATTAATGTGTCCATCCAGATGGCTCTTTTATGAGCACGTACATCTTCACTCCATATTATCTCCTTGATTCTAGACCTTCTTCTATGATGGTATGCTCCAACTATCATTATTATGAAAGTCATAATTATGATAACTAGCTTTTTTTCATCATCTTCACCTACTTCTTCCCTTGCACGTTTCCTTTGACCATGTAAACTTTGTTGGTCTGACATTTTCTCCTAAACTGTTTCATCATCAAAATTTAATGTGTAAAATTTTACTTATCTAAGAGATAGAATCAGACCATGTAACATGGAGTAAAAGTAAAGGAAAAGAATAACAAATTTAGAATTACTAAACGAAATTATCAAACACTAAAGATAATAATATGAAAGAAAAAAAATAAAGATTTTATAACTCAAATTCAAACCCATATGCAAACATATATTGACAATCTCACAAAAAAGTAAATCAGGTGCAAAGACAGAGATTTACTTATCTAGAACTTTGATTTCGTATAGCTGTCGACTAATGAATGGATCTAAAATGGACTAATAAACTACATTATCACATCTCTAGAACAATTTCTATTTTCTCTAGTGAGAAGACATCATGGGATGCTAGCACAAACAAGGCACATGATTATTAATCTTTTGAAATTTTACATGGAGAAAATATTTTCTTCATCCATTCGCAAGCCAACACATTAACAGGAGGACAATAAGAATTATAAGATGTCATTCCTATATCGTTCTCTAAGTCTTTTTTTCTACAGGAAATGAAATATTGTTTCTCAAAATTTTTGAAACCCTTCATCGATGTTCGTTTTGAATCAAAGAAGTGATTTCGAGAAACAAATAACATTACTAGGGTCGAAAGATTTATTCAAAATGAGAGTTGGTTTTGGGGGATTTTCCCCATAAAAATTTAGCTGCAATTCCATCAAAATTGAGAGAATAGAGTTTGAATCTAGAATTTAGGGTTTCGGTGGAACTGGAGATAGAGGAATGAGAGAGGATTGAGAAGTTCTCACCGTTTTCGATGATCGTCGTAGTCGCCGGAGGTGAAATTAGGGCTTACAGGTGAAACTGGATCTCCTCCTCCTCCTCGTCCTCGTCCCCACCGTCGATGTTGAAACTGGATCTCCTCCTTGTCGTCGTCGCCACCGCCGGTGTTGAAACCGGATCTCCTCATCCTCCTCCTCGTCACCACCGCCGATTGAGAGTAGAAGTGTGAAGGGAGAGAGATCGCGAGAACGGAAGTGGGGGGGGAGGGGGGTTGCGAGAGCGGATGTGGAGAGAGAAGATGGAATTGCAAATGACAGCCCACCCGTTGGGATTTAGAATTATGGGCCTAATATAGGTCTAAAATGTTAATGTATTTGGACCATTATCCAATATTCAAATTCTTATGGATCCAAACACTAGAATTGGGACAAATACACTATTTGAAATGAAATCCTAGTTTCCAAACAGACTGTTATTTATTTGCACAATCCATGCATGTATCTAACCTAAGCGAAAAATTAAAACGGGAGGAAAAAAAAGAGGGAAAATAGAACCTTGCATAATATCTAAACTACACTCAACCTGAGAATCTACTTAAAAAAACTGCAATTTACACTCATGTTCATCAAATTAAAACAGGATACAAGCATGCCACACGAATATCGTACATCGATAACATATATATATAGTAGCAAGTCCTTCAGTCACACTGACATACATCACACCAGAATCAGCTACTGCTAAGTAACAAGTTTTCAAATAACACTTAAACGGTTCCCCATTACAACTTAATATAGCTAGAGAATAAAATTAGCAGCTTGATTAACTCGAAGAAGACGAAGTAGAATCTGTCGTCATGTACTAAAACTCTACATGTCCAGGCCAGGGTAAAAGCAGCACCTCAGTCATTCTTCGTGTCCTCTCATCACCTCAACTACCAATTTACATCAAATCAAATAAAAATGAAATCAGTATCAAACATTTTGTATATGGAATTGATCAGTGGAGAGATCTAATTAGTGGAACTAAGTATATACCCTAGTTGGAGAGCAGTCTGCTGCTGATGAGAGTAGTGGTGATTGGGATCAAGCAAGTTCACTTGGAGAAAGTTTCGTGAATCGAATTGGGGCATGCCTTCATATTCATTCGAGGTTGTTGCAGGTAACATGTTCATTTGCTGCTGGGCTCTCTCATTTTCAGCTATCTGTTTATAACATTGACCTTGTTAGTAACGCAAAAGAATGGAAATATATACTGAACAAATGATAAAGGAACTCGATTAATAAGTAACGATTGCAAAAATTAAACCCCAATGTGAAACCTAACTATGATATCTCAGGTTATCTTAGGATAATATACAAATTTTTGTGTACAACAATTTGTGTTGCTGTGTAGTACAGAGCTTTCAGAGTTCAAAGATTCATTTGTTATAGTGTACATTGAAGTTTTACGTGGAATTAGAAATGTTTGAAAGTTACATCAACCTCATATATTATCTCTCACTGGAAATGAAGCTAATTTCTTACTCTTCATCTTAACCGTTCATCTCCAATGCATTACGTCCTAAAATTTTAAATTTGCCTTTATACTCAAAATGCTATAAAAGCATAAAACTAGTGAAGCTAACTGTACAGGGATAGCTTTAAGCATAACATGCATATTTCTTTTGAGAGGAGAACTTCTTCAATCATGTTTAAGATAAACCGGTGGTTTAATGCTTTCTCAAAGGAATTAAGCTCGGGACACGAGGAAGATTATTGGCGTGCAAAATTTTTACAGGCAAGAAAATAAAAAGGGATAAGTTCTTGCTACATGCTATATAGTTAATCAGCTAGCTAAATGTGTTCAATAGGCAACATAAGTGGGAATTAAGAAATTACCTTGTTCCTTAAGCACATATTATCATTTTGCAACTCCATCTCCTGCAAGATAAAATCATTAACTATGACAATTTTCAGGAGAGTAAGAGAATAGACATATACTGATGCTTATTACAAGGGATTTTATTCTTGTTCTCACCCTTTTTTGCATGTATTCAATCTCAGCATACAACAACTCATTCTGCACGTAAGGAATAAAATTAGCAATAATAACAATAGACGTACAAATAAAAGAATTAAAGTAAAGATTAATAATATCGTATAACTATTCGATGATGTTTACCTTCTTGCTTCTTATTTTGCTGATGCCTTTCTCCAGCCTGCCCTCCAGCTGCTTCAGGTCCCTTAGACTCATTGTACTAAGCGACTCACCCATCAAATTCCTGCAGGTCAAAACTATGTTATATTTCTATTAAGAAAAAAAAATACACAAATTCACAAAAGGTGACAAGTTAATTACCTGTTTGAATTCTGTAAGTTGGTTATTTGCTGGCGCAATTTGGAGGCTTCCTGTTGGTAGTACTGAAGAGTAAATTAAGATAACAGGTTGGTTAATCAATAACTTTGGTCCAATTTCTAAGTACTACGTTATTTATATATTAATATGATTTCTGGGTATCCCTAGCCGAAAATATTATTAAAATTTACTATACAGTGAGTCATGCTAATATATGAATGTTGGTAAATTAAGAATCAACATATCTAGAAAATATCTTGATCTGAAACAAAAATGTTGAACCTATTATGTGGTATTTAAGATCTGATAAACAAAGATGCTACCAATATTAGATTGTTGTATGGAGCGTGTTGACTATCAAGTTTACGAACTTAGAACTCTCCCAAATGAAGACAAAGAACTTACTTTGATTTTTTCAATCTTTTCTTCTTTTTATAAAACAATGATTACAATATCCCTTTATATAGGCTTCAAAACAAAACGTATAGACATACCAATAGTCACCAATTAAACTCCTATTTTAATGCAATAAAAATAAAATATCATAAAAGAGTGAATGACTCTTATTCTTTCATAACCTATGTCTCTTCCCCTTCTAAACTTATAACCCTTGTACTTCTAAAATTCATGCTATTAACCACATTTATTCTAACATTTTAATTTGATATTCCAACACGCCCCTTCAAATCAAAATATCTTTATACGAAGCATGTCTCTTAGCCTCATGAAAGTTTTACTTGATAATGGCTTGATGAATATGTCTGCTACTTGTTTAGTGGTGTGACAATGCTCCAGTTCAACGGTTTTCTGCTTTACATGGTCTCTGAGAAATAAAACTGTATATCTATGTGTTTGCTCCTCTCATGATGTACTGAGTTCTTTGCAAGCTGGATGGTTAATTTGTTGTCCACAAAATTATAATCGGGTCTTCTTGTGGATGATCAACCTCCTTTAATATGTTCCGCAACCAAATTGTTTCACATACTGTAGATGCAGTCGCCACATACTCTGCTTCATATGAAGATAAGGCTACAACTCCTTGCTTCTTTGAGGTCCATGAAAATGCAGTTGACCCAAGATAGAAGATATAGCATGTGGTGCTTTTCCTCTCATCTTGGTCATCTCCCTGGTCACTATCTGAGTAACCAACTAGTTGTGCAATTTTATCATATTCATATAAGAGACCCATGTTGAGTGTGCCTTTGATATACCTTAGTATCCTCTTTGCAGCTAGCCAGTGAGACTCCTTTGGTGTCTCTATATAGCGACTCACAAGTCCGACTCCATAAGTAATATCGGGCCTTGTGATCGTCAAGTATCTCAGGCTGCTCACAAGTCCGACTCCATAAGTAATATCGGGCCTTGTGATCGTCAAGTATCTCAGGCTGCCAACTAGACTTTTGAAAATAATATCGGGCCTTGTGATCGTCAAGTATCTCAGGCTGCCAACTAGACTTTTGAAAAGAGTTGAATCCACAAAACGTCCATCTCCTTCTCTTGAGAGCTTCATTCCGATGGCTACTGGGGTGTTCACAAGGTTGCATTCATTCATCTTGAACTTCTCTAAGATCCCATTCATGTTCTTCTTCTGGGATATAAAAATCCCCTCTTGCTGCTGCTCCACTTCAATGCCAAGAAAATAAGACATCAATCCATTGTCCGTCATCTCAAATTCATTGAACATTGCCGCCTTGAATTCAACAAGCATCTTGGTACTACTTCTTGTGTACAATAAATCATCAACATAAAGACAAATTATTAGAAATTTTCCTTTATGGTTCCTCTTCATGTAGATGGCATAATCATGGGGACATTTAATGAAACCATTTTGATGAAGATAGCCATCAATTCGGGCATTCCATGCCCATGATGTCTGCTTTAAGCCATACTAGGCTTTTTAAATGGTACACTTTATCTTCTTGCCCTTTCACAAGAAAGCCTTCTGGTTGTTGCACGTACACCTCTTCCTCAAGAACGCTATTGAGGAATACTGACTTGACATACAAATGATATATATTCCACCTGTGATGAACTGCAAGTGAAATTAATAGTCAAGCAACTGGAGCAAAGACTTCTTCATAGTCGATGTTGTACTTTTGTTTGTAACCTTTCGCTACAAGCCTCGCCTTGTACCGATCAACTTCACCATCTGTTGTGCGCTTGATCTTGTACACCCACTTGACCCCTATTGCCTTGTGATTTTGTGGAAGTGTTGTCAACTCCCAAGTATCATTCTTTTGGATGACGTGGATCTCCTCCTGCATTGCTGTTCGCCAACAATCTTTCTTTACGGCTTCTTGGAAGGTGAGAGATTCATGATCAGCATATAAGCAGAGGAGATTTGACTCTCCGTCTTCTTCTATCTGCTCATAGATCTCCCTGAGACTTCTTATTTTGATGGGACCTCGTTGCACTATAGATCCGTTGCTACTATCTTCCCCAGAAGATGGAGAACCTCTTGCATGAGAGCGTGTAGAATGTGGAGGAGATTGTGGTGTAGCTGGTGGTGGTACCTCATATAGAGACTTATCAGGTTCATCCACCATGGGGTTGATCTTTGGTAGTCTCTTCATTGCTCCAGCTCCATGCTTCTTCTTCATTGAAGATAACATCTCTACTAACAACTAGTTTCTTGGTTAGTGGATTGTAGAGCTTGTATGCCTTCGACTCCTTGCTATATCCGATGAAAGTATATTTTTCACCGTAATTGTCAAGCTTTTTCCTTTTGACTTCAGGTACTTAAGCATATGCAACACACCAAAAAATTCGTAGGTGAGCCACACTAGACGTGTAACCGCTCCATGCCTCTTAAGGTGTCTTGTTCTTCACTATCTTTGTGGGGGCATCGGTTGAGCAAATAAGCTAAGCACACCATGGCTTCTGCCCAAAACTGTTTTGGCAATCCCTTTTCTTTGAGCATGGTTCTTGTTATGTCGAGGATGGTCCGGTTCTTTCTTTTTTGCAATGCCATTTTGCTGTGGTGAGTAGGCAATAATAAACTGTCTGTTTAGACCTTGCTCCCTATAATATTTTTGAAACAAATTTGAGGTGTAGTCATCACCTCGGCCAGATCGAAGAATTATTAGATTGTGGCTGCTCTCCGCTTCAATAAGAACTTTAAAATGCTTGAATATAGTAAAGGCAACCGTTTTTTTCTTTAAGAGCGTACACTCATAACTTTCTACTAAAGTCATCAATGAAGGTTATAAAATATCTATTACCTCATAAAGAGACGGGATCAATCGGTCTGCAAATGTCAGTGTGAACAAGTTACAATGGTGCCTTTGCTCTCCATACTTTTCCACTGGGAAAAAGAAGTCGTGGTTGCTTGCTAATTATACAACCTTCACAAATATGATTCGGTGGATCGATTGTTGGTAGACATTGTACCATGCCAGCTAAAGACAGTAACTTCAAGCCACTGAAGTTTAGATGGCCGAAGCGAAGATGCCACCTCCACGACTCATTCTCCATGGTCCTTAAAAATAGTTGTTGACTTTCGTGTTTAGCTACAAGGAAAACATGCGGTTTCTTGTCATCTTAACACATGCTATGAGGCCTCCATTTGCATTTTTCAACCAAAGATGGTTGTTCTCCATATGTACTTTGTATCCCTTTTTGAGTAATTGACCGATACTAAGGATATTACTTTTCATGTTAGGAATATAGTAAACATCGGAAATATACTCAGGCTTACCATCCTTTTGGTAGATTTTAATCTTCCCTTTGCCTTCAACCGAGAGTTTTGAAGAATCTCCCAAGCTCATACTTCCATGAACCCCTTCTACGAGTTCCATGAAAAGTTCTTTCTTCCTGCACATGTGGTTGCTAGCACCCGAGTCAAGCTACCAAAGATCATTCTGAACACTTGAATCATTATTAGCAAGAAGAAGTGTAGAGTTGTTACCCACATCATTTGTTGCTTCGGCAAGATTGGTTTGGTCTTCAGTATTGTGCCAACAATATGAAGCATATTGTCCAACTTGTGACAGTTATAACACTGAACATTATTGTTGTTTCCACGCTCAGGTGTGGATCTTCCCCGATTGCTTCGTCCTCGTCCTCTGAAGCTTTGGGTCTTCACTTGATTTTAAGTGGTTTGTTGTTGGGGACCACGTTCCCTGCCTCTACCACGACCACAACCACGACCTCTACCTTGTGAGCTTTGATTATTTATAGTCAATTTTGACTCTAGTACTTGTTTCAAAACTATGGAACTAGCCTTCTTTTACATTCGTTGTTCATGAACTCGGAGAGATCCCGAGAGCTCCTCTATTGAGATCTCTTCCAAATTCTGACTCCTTAATTGCCGTCACCACGTGCTCGAATTTTGATGTGAGGGATCGGAGTAACTTTTCCATCACTCGAATGTCCTTCATCTTCTCTCTATTTCTCCTCATTTTATTCACAATTAGAAGTAATCGTGAATAATAATCGGAGATTTTTTATTCATCTTTTATTTGAGCGGCTTCAAGATCCCCCCTCAAAGTTTGGAGGCGAATTCGTTTCACCCGCTCGATACCTTTGTAGATGGTAGCAAGGATTTCCCATGCTTCCTTGCTCGTCGTTGCTTCGGCAACTCTCTCAAAGGTAGACTCGTCCAACCATTGATAGAGTAGAAAACGAGCCTTGCTATCCTTCTTTTTTTGCTCTCTAAGAGCCTTCTTCTCTTCGGTGGTGTAGGTGGCTTCTACTGCTGGTGTAGGTTCCGTGAACTCATCAATGATCAGCTCCCACAACTCTTGAGAATCAAATAAAGCTCTCATTTGGATTGACCAACTCTCATTGTTATCTTTCGATAACTTGGGCACTTGAGAATTGACAAGATTATTTGTGGTGGCCATGAGAAGAAGAGAAAATGGGAAAATTGGATCAAGTGGCTCTGATACCACTGTTGACTATCAAGTTTACGAACTTAGAACTCTCAAAAATGAAGACAAATAATTTACTTTGATTTCTTCAATCTTTTCTTCTTTTTTTTATAAAATAAGGATTACAATAGCTCTTTATATAGGCTTCAAAACAAAACGTATAGGCATACAAATAGTCACCAATTAAACTCCTATTTTAATGTCATAAAAATAAAATATCATAAAGGAGTGAGTAATTCTTTTTCTTCCATAACCTATGTTTCTACCTCTTCTAATCTTATGACTCTTGCACTTCTAGAACTCATGCTATTAACCTTATTTATTCTAACATTTAATTTGATATTCCAACAGAGCGCACATATTCATTGGATGTAACATGGGAAACTTTAAGTTGAAGTGAAATCATCAGCTGATGGACAAACGTTTGCTTGACAGACAAATGTTTAAGATATCATAATCAGTCGTTGATTTAGTGGAAACCTTATGAAAGTAAATGTAAAACACATGATAAACAAAGTAGAAATATGTACAGCCTGATAATCTTCACATACTGCTCATGAGATATAAGTGGTCCTATTATAAGAGTTGCTTAAGTTTGCATAGCCTATTCTTAGACAAGTTATCAAACTGGTTTTTGCTTATTTTAGCAATAATCCGTCTCTTACTTTGATGTAAAGCGGATGTGATGTGAGGAAACATTAAATCGTAGCGAAACTTTTGGCTGACTGCTAAGATTAAGACTCTCACGCGGTGGCGTGGATAAGTAGTAGATATGGGTAGTAGTATTATAAGTAGGTACTTATATAGATATGATATGCTGAGCTAGTAGCGTGATACTATATATGGATGGTAGTATACGTTGTATTTATGATATATACATTGACCTTGATCGGAGCTGGAAACCCCATTTTCTTCCTCGTCATCAAAAATAAAATAATAAAGAACTATTAAAGCCTTTTATATGATTTTTTTTCCCTAATTGTGACCACTAAAATTTTCACTAAGATCAAACTTCTGCTTCTACGAGGATAATCAAACCAAGCAAGTTAATTGGACTATTTCTAAAATCTAAAGACCAATTTCTTTGTGACGGCATAGAAATTTAGTTAAGATCACCATATAAGTGTAAATAGTGTTTTCCTTTCTTTGGAAGGCAAAACCAGCAAACTATCATCTTGTCTCTTCCAAATGAGTCCTAGCTTCGAGTAAACACAAACAGAGTGAAAAGAGAATGCATTTGGTTGTAACTACACGAAAATTAGGACTATTTCAATACCAAAAACATAAATCAAGAATTTTCCTACTTCAATAGTTTAGTTATTGTCTATATCTTACTTCGAGTTAGTTGGAACAATATATCTTCTCTCTTAATTTAAGTATGAATGTTCAATATGATTAACCATTTGCATATATGTCCAAACTGTTGCCTTTGCCCTCAAGATAGAATGAGAATGATTCAGGAGCAAATATATAGTCTGCAAAGGTCCTGATTAATACTAGTCAAATGAAGATATTCCCAAGCCAAACGAGTTGGCTTACTGAAAACTATTAACAAAAATAGCATACAATTCAAAACCAACTTAAATTCTAAAGGAAAAAGGCATCGTAAAGCGTAAAGTCTTCTACAAGAGAATTCCATCACGGGGCCACCACATTTACCTACTAAAATATCACCGGCTTCCATCCAAGATCCAAGCATCACAATTCCGGTTCTGTCTAAATTTTGGAGTAAATGAGCTTCTAAATGCGGTATTTCCTTAGTGATTCTTTCAGGAACTTGACTTGTCACATAAGTCTGAATTTCATATTTCCATATGTGAAAATAGGTATAAATATCTTTATATACTAGACGTTCCCTAATTAGTATTTTATCTTCAGAGGTGTTTGATTGATCCGTTGCAGCTTAAGCCAAAGACTCGAACAATAACATTGGTTGCCATGATTGGAGCTGTGATATAAGCTCATGACTGGTTAACTTATAGCGAAATCTGAATTGTAGAGTGCTTTCACTCTTCAACGTTCTTTCGGTCGGCAAATACGGTGGATGCCGCAAATCCGATGTGTTGTCTCCGATGTGTTGTCTCCTTGAACAGAGAGTAAGAAAGCAGAAATTCCTTCCTCCCTTATTCACGGACACTAAGCAGTCAACCAATCTCAACTGATATATATCTATCTAAGTCAAACTATACTAGAAAACTTCTAAATTAAAGCGGGCGAAAAAGGAAGATTTGTTTTTCTATTTTGCGTATGGGTTGCCTAGGACTCGAACCCGGTACTAGTCGGATGAAGAGCACAATGACGGATGATCTATATTGTTGAACTAATCAATGTTTAGCATGTTAAACAACCTAAGAGCCATAGTGTGATATCCTAGGTGGAAGGGAATCCTAAGAGCCAAAGTTTTTCTTCACTACTCAGTTCAGAATTACAACATGGTATCAGAGCTTCGTTATGACAACTGAGTGTTAAGAAACCCTACCTCTACAAAAACACCAACACCCACTACCAAAACTCTTCCAAATAGCCTCCTCAAAATGACCAATACAACTGTCGATTCTCCAACTTCTTCTCGGATTCAAGTGGCTGACCCAATAGTCATTGAGTCCGACCCAAAACCTACCTCCGGCGAGATACGAACACCGATCTTCTCCGGGGAGAACTACGACTTTTGGCAGATCAAGATGAGGACGAGACATATCAAGAGAAAATACCACTTCATCAGGGACGCGATCGTGGACAAGGAGATGGAGGTCATCTACTGCAAAATTGAAGATCAAGCTGCAGACATTCTCACCAAAGCGTTGCCGAAGGATCGCTTTTGCACACTTCGAGAACTAATGGGTGTTAAACCTGCTAACCCCTGAGGAGGAGTGTTAAACTAATCAATGTTTAGCATGTTAAACAACCTAAGAGCCATAGTGTGATATCCAAGGTGGAAGGGAATCCTAAGAGTCAAAGTATAATAAGTGGGGTGGTATTCTAAGAGATGACTCCTTGTACAAACGGGTCCTTAGGTACATCCAAGGCACCCAGAATTTTGGGATCCATTTTAAGAAGAACTCCTCAGCAAAGCTATTCGGATTCTGCGATAGTGACTGGGGAGGTGATGAAGATGACATGAAGAGTACCTCTGGATACTGCTTCACACTCGGATCGGGTATGTTCTCCTGGGCGTCGATGAAGTAGGAGTCCGTGGCACTATCAACTGCAGAAGCCGAGTACGTGGCGGCTTCTCAAGCAGCATCACAAATCAAGTGGCCGAGGAATGTGCTTGATGACATTGGTGAAAAACAACTGCAGCCTACTCCTCTCCTCTGCGACAACAAGTCAGCGATCGCAATGGCAAAGAACCCTGTCTTCCACCAAAGGATGAGACATATCAAGAGAAAATACCACTTCATCAGGGACGCGATCGTGGACAAGGAGATGGAGGTCATCTACTGCAAAACTGAAGATTAAGCTGCAGACATTCTCACCAAAGCGTTGCCGAAGGATCGCTTTTGCACACTTCGAGAACTAATGGGTGTTAAACCTGCTAACCCCTGAGGAGGAGTGTTGAACTAATCAATGTTTAGCATGTTAAACAACCTAAGAGCCATAGTGTGATATCCTAGGTGGAAGGGAATCCTAAGAGCCAAAGTTTTTCTTCACTACTCAGTTCAGAATTACAACATGCTCTCTCTAATTCTCTATCTTCTTCTACATCTCTCTCTCTCTCTAATTCTCTATCATACTAGCCTTAGCCAAAGTTTTTCTTCACTACTCAGTTCAGAATTACAACATATATACAGCTTGACCTGTCATCTAATTTGTCACTGTAGCAATTTTTGCAGTTTTTGTTTTTTCCTCGAAAACTGGCTTAAAACTTTCCATTCCAACTAAAACTATAGCACATAATCAGAAGAAATTTAAAATGATATTGCAATTGATACAATATTGAAACTTAGCATTTTTTTTAAGAATCATCAGTTACTACATATTCTGTAGCTTTCAGCAAAGCAGTTGCTATAAAGATAGCATCTTAGCATCTAATAAAAGTGAAACATTCTTTCGTAAGTCAGAAGGGCAACAAACAATAGAATACCTGAGAATTAGCTTCAGAGACAGTTCCAGTGTTGGTTGTATCAGTGCAAGCTTTCTTGTACCGTTCAATGGTCGCTTTCACACTGCGCTCAACAAATATTGATACCATCAGTTAAAGCATTTAAACAAGTACGAAAGTGAGCTTCTGCCCTAAATTCCGTAGCATAAATGAACTTTCTGAGCCATGTAAAATGAATGATACGTGTTGTAATTGCTCGAAAGAGTCATGCACAACAAAACAATGTTATGTAATTAATGCCACATTATCTCTAACTAGCATCAAGAGTGCATATTTAGCTGGAAGTTTTGCTCAATGTTAAGCACTGAGGTGGTTGTGTATCGAATTTGGTAAATTCTAGTCCGTATTATATATTGTGAACAATTTAAAGAAATATATATATATATTATATTATATATATATATATATATATTATATATATATATATATATATAATATATTATTATTCTTTATGGTTAAATAACCATTTCATCTTTAATAGTTACGTGTGGCATGAATGATTTCAGACTAGAAAGTGATCAATAGTAAACAAATGTGTATGATTTAATATTTTTTAAATTCAAATTTAGGTCATTGAAATAAATGCATGATTCATTATACTTAAATTGATCTACATTTAAAGAAGTGAAGAGATATCAAGCAATCCAAGTGTTTTATTTGGTTGTGTCTGTGCATGCTAATCAACCGGGGAAAATAGATGACTAAAAAGTAAAATGTCTGTTAGATCTATGATTTAGTGCATATTAATTCTCTCTCCAACCCTTTGATCGTGATATAAATACTTAAAACTCTTGAGCTCATTTTTTTATTATGACTCAAAAAGTGTAACCAGCTCAGCAAATTAACAAATTAGAAAGT